TCGTTAAATGCGAAACCGAAAATGCAGGACAAATGTTTCTGTTTTCGCTGCACTACTGTCTTGGGAAAGCCAAAGGAACCATACAAGAGTGTGCAATGCTAGACCCGAAAGTAGGCTACCTGAAAGCCAGAAACATACTGAAGGAGATGTTCGGCCAACCATTCCAAGTGGTACGAAACATGATTGACGGGTTGCTAGCTGAGGCGAGGCGCACACGAAGCGATACTAGGTCTTTAGCAAACCTGGTCATCAAGATGCAGAACTGCAGCATCGCCCTAAACCACCTCGAATATAAGTCGGACCTGGATGCACTTCACACGCTGGAATCGAATGTCAGATGTTTGCCGGCCGAAATGCAGACACTTGGTCATCAAGATGCAGAACTGCAGCATCGCCCTAAACCACCTCGAATATCGGTCGGACCTGGGCATCAAGATGCAGAACTGCAGCATCGCCCTAAACCACCTCGAATATCGGTCGGATCTGGAAAAACTGCAGCATCGCCCTAAACCACCTCGAATATCGGTCGGACCTGGATGCACTTCACACGCATTGTCAGATGTTTGCCGGCCGAAATGCAGACAGCTGGGCGACCGAGGCCGATCGAATCGATTGTTAGATGTTTGCCGGCCGAAATGCAGACAGCCTGAGCGACCGAGGCCGATCAAATCGAGAAAAGGAACAGAGAGACGACCTTTGCCGATATTGCCCAATTTATAGGTTGCCAATCTGGCATAGCAAATAGTCGATTCGGTCAACCAGCGGGGGGAAGCATCAGAACCGCTAGGCCTTCAACCAACTTTACACCGTCTGGATCTCGAGGTCCCCATCTCCCACACAACTGGGCAAGCACCAACTTAATCTCATATGACACACAAAGACCGAGTTAGTGCAAAGTGTGCACAGGTGTCCACAAGCTTATTGTCTGCCCGGAATTTTTGGCAATGAAGGTGATGAACCGCTGGACAGTAGCTAAAAAGACAGGGTCCTGCTTTGTGTGCTTGACCGATACCCACAGAGCATCACCCCTTGTTACACCACGATGGAGGAGTCGAGCAACGAACAAATAATGGCCGGGTCGATATAACCAACGAACACTCTGCGGGAGATACACCAAAATCTGCCTGCCTTATCGGACGGGTGTCAAGTGGGCCGGTCCGCTTGGGAATACTACTAATAATAATAATAATATAATCTAAGTGGAAACTCCGCGTGGTTAGGTCCAAGCCGTGGCGTTTCTAGACAGTGGATCGGATATCACCCTCGTGAGAGAGAGANGCTTTGCACGAGAACACGACGTGGGTGGACAGACCACCGCATTGGTAATCAGCACGTTAAATGGGGTACGAGCAATTCTAGCTTCTCAACTGAGTTTGAAGTTAGCTCCCACATCGGGGGAAGGTACGATAGAGGTGCACCATGCGTTTACTATCGCCAAACTACCAATGAGAGCTTCCGAAAGTATCCGATCATTAGCACAGCGCTGCCCTGACCTCCACGATCTGCCGTTCGAAGATGTTCCCGACACCCGAGTGGACATATTGATCGGCTGTGATGTACTCGAGGCGCATTGGATTCTGGACCAACGGATACGAGGCCGTAGAGATCCGTATGCTGTGCGCACGATGTTGGATACTCTGCGGGCCGCTCAGTAATGATGGTACTTATTCAGCCTCGATCAACTTCATCTCGTGGCCAGATAATCCCATAGGAGACGACGTGGATCGGCTTTGCAACCACGAGTTCGGCGACATAGCGGACTATCGGGTATCTATGTTGAGGGAAGACCGAGTAGCCTGGCTGTCGTCCCCGAAACGACATGACACAACGAAACCCAGTTTGAAGTGCCGTTACCCTGGCGAACGGGATCCAATCGACTGACAGACAATCGAGAATTAGCCATCCATAGGCTCAACTACCTGGAGGGTGGATTAAAGAGAAGCGCACAGTTGAAGGAAGCCTACGGTAATGCCATAAAACGCCATCTAGAGTTGGGATATATCGAACGCGCAATGGGGGAAATCGAGAAGGAGCAACCATTGTGGTACCTTCCGCAGATAGATTGAACGCGCAATGGGGGAAATCGAGAAGGAGCAACCATTGTGGTACCTTCCGCACCACCCTGTCCCAAACCCCAAAAAACCTCAGAAGATCCGGGTTGTCTTCGATTATGCTGCCAAGTGTGCCGGGATTTACTCTAAATGACCGTCTACTACAAGGCCCAGACCTGACTACTCAGCTGATTGATGTGCTGCGCAGATTTCGACTGGGGTCAGTTGCGATAGCGGCTGATATCGAGATTTTCATGCAGGTTAAAGTCCTCAAAGGGCAAAGGGACGCTCTAAGGTTGTGGTGGTGGTGGCCAGATGGAGACCTAAATGGACCTGTCCAGAAATATCGGATGACGGTGCACCCGTTTGGCGCGATATCCTCTCCTTCTTCTTCTGTGCAAACTTCGCGTTAAAAACGACCGTGAACAAATTTGCTCCGCGGTTAAAAACTCCGGTGGGCTCCTGTGTTGAACATAATTTTATGTGGACGACCTCTTGGTATCCTTTGATAGCATTGAGGAAGCAGTTGGATACATTAAGGATTTATCCAAGCTACTGCTCATGAGAGGGTTCCAGTTGACCAAGTGGATGTCCAACAGTCGTCATGCAATAGATTGCATCCCAGTTGATGAGCAGGCACCGAGTCTCCGTGAATTGCAGACAGAGCACTTGGTGTGCAAGCTGATGGCTGAGCCTGTCCAAGCTGGGTCATATACAACTTTCTCGTCTCATACCGGGAATATACAAAGGAGGGCAAAGTGAGTTACACGTTTTTGCGGACGAGTCGGAGGTGGGATACGGGTTAGTGGCCTACAGTTGCTCGTCCCGGCCAGTAGGAAAGGGGCATAGCAGTATTCTGTTCGCAAAGGCCAGGGTCGCCCCTCTAAAGGCAGTCTCAATACCCAG